CCACCCCCTGGGACCTCCCACCCACAGGCGCTCTGGGTGCCCTGGGCACCGTCTCCCCTCCCCGCAGAAACTGTCCGGAAATGGGAGCCTGCACGAAGGGCTGATGGTTCCGCAGAGGAAGCTCATGGACCCTGGCTCCCTGCCGCCCCCCGACTCGGAAGGTAAAGAGAGAGGCCCAGAGCGACCCGCTCCTCTCCCGGAGGGGTCGGGCCGGGCCTGTGAACACCCGCCCCCCCTCTGTTCAGCAAAGATCGCCTGGCCAGGATCTGCTCTTTCTGGGCACCGACCCCAGGGCGGGCGGGAAGCCCCGGGGCTCGCCAGGGTCCCCTCGCCCAGCACCCTGCCGCCGCACACAACCGAATCACCATTCGCCCACAGATCTCTTCCAGGATCTAAGTCACTTCCAGGAGACGTGGCTCGCGGAAGGTGAGTTTTGTGACCTTTTATTGTTGGGACAAGGGCTCCCAGCCCCTAGACTCCTGCCTTGCCCCCGTCCTTGTCCTCCCTGTGCCTCGCCCTCCAGCGCCCAGCCCCTCCAGCGCCCAGCGAGGACACTTATATTGATATTTATTTTCTCCGCCCGACCCAGGCTTGTGTAATGAGGCCTTAGGATGAATCAGACCATTGTGTGGGGTATTTGCTTATTAGAATGGAACTTGGCCCTGGGCCTGTTTCCCTAGTTGAAAATTTCATTTACAAAGTTCGTTGGCAGAAGCTGCTGGGTCCAGGTGTGTGTTGGGGTGTTGAGGTTTGGGGGGCAGGAGGACGAGAGGGAAAAATTAATTTGGTACCCATCTCCCAGAGCTGCCCAAACGTTGATTCTCTGCTTCTCTTCTTCCCGAATCCCAAGGTCACTTTACTGTCCATGCCCAAAGAAAAATAAAAGTTTGAGTAATTTTCTCAGCAATTTGGCGAGAGGATGGGGCCCCCTCAACAGCTCAACTGCAATTCTAATGGCAGCGGTGTCCCTCCCAGCGTCTCTCCTGCTTTGAGCTAGCAGAGTGGAGCCCCAGGGTGTCACTGGTGAGGTTCAGGCAGCACTCAGCGGTTTACAGCAGTTCTGAGAGGGAAGGGTTAACGCCCCCATCTTGGTTAAACCCCTATATTTTAACACTGAAGACCAGGAACCTGGAATGCTAGGAATCCCTTTCGGAGGGCTTCTTCTCTGCCTCTCTTCCCTACTCCTCCATCCTGAGTGTCTTTTCTTGGGCAACTGTTTAAGCTCAAACCCAACTCCCCTGGGACCTCCTGTATCGATTGGGGCAGAGGGAAAAGACCTCCCGACTTGATGGGTGCAGGGAGTGAGACTTGGTCTGTCCACCACTGTGGCACCTCCAAAATGCGCAGAGAGCGCCTTGGAGATGTTAGGGGAATCAAGGCGGACGCACTGCGTGGGTGTTGGAGGGGTCGGGTTCTAGGGTACTGTGGGCACCTTCCGAGTCTGCAGGCCAGGACCCAAGTGCCCAGTACCCGCCCAGCTGCAGACAGAGCTGTGCCCAGCCACCCCCGCCCCCACCCCAGGTTCCGGAGCTGGGCTAACACTGCAGGTGTCAGTTTCCAAGCGCTCAACGACTTCCTTTCCCAATGCCTGGCGAGTTCTGGCTGGCGAGGCTCCTCTCCCTGGCTGTCAGCAGAGGGTCCCCAGCGGGCAGCTCCAGGGCTGTGAGCTAGGGGTGGCTCCCTGGTTGGCATTTTGGCAGCAGTCGGTCCATTTGTGCCTGTGTTTGGAACTGAGATTCTTATCCTTGGAAGCACCCCCTCCAGGAGGTGGGTGTAGAGGTGGTCGTGTTCGTGTGTGCTTGTGTCAGTGTGTGTGTGTGCGCGTGCGCGTGTGCACGCTCTGGCTGCTGCCTCTGGAGTCCCTGTCCATTTAAATCCAGTGGGTGGGGAGGTGGGGTGGGCTGCGGGTGCAGGGGGCTGGGAGCTCCGTGGTTCCCTCTCCCTCCGCGGGAGGAGCCCCTCAGGTTCCCAGCTGGTGCTGGTGGCCAGGCCAAGGGGGATGCTCGGGACACTCGCTCCTTATCACTCTCTCTGCGGAGACAGATGCAGCTGCCGGGGCCCTGTGCCCCTGCCCCACCCCAGCACCACCCTGGCTTCCTCTCCTGCCTCTTCCCACCAGGTTAGTGTCCCCTGCCGTCCAGGGGGGAGTTTTGGGGTGGCAGGGAGAGGCCAGGTACTCTGGACACTTGCCAGTATTGGGGCGCATCGGTCGGCGGGAGGGGGGTCAGCCCCTGGTGTGGAGAGCAGCCAGGACATGGGTGGGTGGGAGAGGCGGGAGGAGGGTGCGGGTGCAGCCTGGGCATCTCTGGGCTTGGGGTTTTTCTGGATGGGGGAGGATGCTGTGAGGCTCGGAGGACACCTCTGGTTTCTGGGTCCCCGTGGTGTAGTCTGGGTGCTGGAGAAGTCAGGCTGCCATAGGGAAGGAACCCAGGATCCGTCAGGCTGAGCCCCAGATGTGTCCAGCTGTGGTAGAGATGAGCTGGTTCTGGTCCTGGGCTCCTTTCTGGACTCTGCCAGACCTTTGGAGCCCACAGGGACAGGAAGGTACAGGGAGGGGCCACTGATGTCCTTGTTTGGGCCAGGGTCTGTAGCTCCTGGAGCATCTGGGTAGTTGCGGGGTCCCCTCCCCCAGACCACATGTGCAGTCGTTAGGGGGTCAGGCCCCGAGGCGCATGGGCTTTCCTGGGAAGAGAGGACCCTGCCCCACGGCCCTCCAGGGGGTGCGCGCCCCCGGTGAGTGAAGCGCGTCGCCCCCGTGCTCTCCTAGCGCAGCACCTCCTCCATGTCTCTGCTTCGTCCCCTCCTAAGGCTCCGGGAGTGGGTGTCCCCTCCACAGGCACAGCTGTCCTTTCCAGCATGGGGGGCGTGTGGGGCGGCGGCCACCTGCAGCGGCAGCTTCCCTGTCTCCCAGGCCCATCCTGGGCACCTCAGGCCCTCCGCCCCCCAACCCCCCGAGCTCCTGTTCCCTGTCTCTGGGCATCGTGTGAACACCGCTTCCTTCCCTCCCTAAGCATCTGCCTGTCCCCGGCCATCTTTAAACCCAGATAGAGTTGGGGGCAGAGAGAGGGTCGGACCCTTGGCCAGAATTCAGTCAGGTGGACAGGTGAGTCCAGCAGTCTGCACCCCAGACCCCACGCGGTCCCTGCAGCCTCCCCTGGGCTCCCCTGGTCTCTGGCTGACCAGACCCTGCCCCTTCTGGGAGAAGGGTCCTCTGGGCTCCCCTGGAGGAGGACGGCACCACCCTTTGGGTGACTGCAAGTTGGGGGTTCAGCAGAGATCGTAAGGCCCAAGGCGGGAGGAGGCGTGGTGACCCCAGGGCACTCTGTTCGGCAGGTGACAGGTGACGTCAACCCCAGCCCATTACCTCAGTGGAAAGTGACAGCTAATGAGACCCCAGGGGGACCCAGTGCATCAGCGCCCTGTGATCTGCGTCCCCTGCCCCCGGGACCCTCCTTGCCTGAGTGTCAGGGAGGAGAATGTTGTTCCCTGCTCCCAGTGCCCCTTCTCACCACCTTTGGGGTCTCAGAGAGTGGATCTGGGCCCTATACTCCAGTGGCCGAGCGGATTCTGGATCCTTCCGGTCTCCAGTGCTTCCACAGGCGCCTGTTCTGTTGGTCTCACTGTGTGGTCCACGCTGCACTCAACTCTCCCTCCCATACCTGCCTCCCGCGTGCTGGGGTGACCGGTGTGGGCCACCACATGTGGCCAAGTGGCCTGTGCCTGAGGTCACCAGGGCAAGGGGTAAGAACGCAGGTGCCCAGCTGCCTCTGGGAATGAGGCTGGAACCAGCTGCAGACCTGGCCAGTTGGGGTCCCTTTGTGCTGCACCAGGCTCCCAGGAAGACAGACGTGAGCTGTGTGTGTGTGTGTGTGCGTGTGTGTGTGTGCGCGCGTGGCGACCACTGATGTCCTCTCCCAGGGTCCTGGTGACTGTCAAGCTCTTCAGGTGCCGTGGCTACCAGGTCTCGCTGCCTCTCCTCTGGGGAAATCGATGATCCGTAGGCCTGTGTAGGCTTTTTAGAACACAATGTAATTAACAGGAGATCCTTCACATACTGCCGCCTCACAGGCTGTGTATCTCACACCATTTCGAGGGGACAGAGGCAGACCGGGGGAGCTCAGGAGTTGTTTTCAGGTCTGGCTCTGGTTGAGGGAGCGCTTTAAAGACATGTCAAGGCCTGGAGACCGATTCTCAGGCCTGGGCTGCTGCGCGTGTGAAGCGAGCCGGAGAGGCCCCTGCTGCCACACCGCCTCCCACGGGCCCGCAGCGCCCTCCCTTTGTGTTGTGGTGAGGGGCGGCCTCTGCCGCCCCAAGGACAGGCGTCCTGTCGTGGTGAGCCTGTCTGCTCTGAGCCAGGCCCGCTGGGGGCTGGGAGAAGCTGAGGAACAAGACAGGCAGAGCCCGGCCCTTAGCTCAGCGCGGTGCTGCTGGATGAGCTGAATGTGGGAACGTGAGCGGCACATCCAGGCAGCGGTGCGTGCTGGGGAGATAAGATGGAGGGCCAGGAGGGCCACTTGGTTTCGTTTTGTTTTTGTTCTGAGACAGGGTCTCACTATGTAGCCCAAAAAGCTTAAGCCTCCTGTCTCAGCCTCCCCGGTGCAGGGATGACAGGCGTGCACCCTCCTGCCCGGCAGAGAGGCTCTGCCATGGTAGGTTGGGCCAGAGGTGGTCTCTGCAGAGGTGTCAACATGAGCTGAGCCCTAGTGGCCAGAAACCCAGCAGACAGGGTCTGGGAAGGAGAAGCCTGGCTCGCTGGGGTTGAGGGACAAAGGAGCAGGGACCTGGGTGGGGGCAGGCAGGGGCAGAGGTGATCGGGGCCTTGGAGGCCACAGACAGGAACTTGGATTTCACACTTAGTGTGAGAAAAGAGAGATTTCTGCTGCAAAAAGGTGGCAAGGACTTCGGAGACCGGCCCCAAACCGTGGGTCCTTGGTGGGGGCAGAGGGGCACGAAGCTCAGCGAGGTCAGAGGTGGAGTCCTCACCGCCGTCTCTGGGGCCATCGAAGCTCCCTCCTGGGAGCCGGGCAGGTGGACTCCACAGCCAGGGCTCCGTGGTCTTCCCATTAGTTTTCCCGCCTGTCCTCGAGCCCGGGGCGCCCCTGCTGCCGTCTCCCAGCCACATGCGAAGCCGTTCCAGTGCAGATTCCCGGTCCCAGAGTCAGAATCTCCCCGCTTGGCTCCACACCCAGGGCACCAGTGGACTCCCGCTGTGACCGCGGGGTACTTGGGGACAGAGAAGGCTGGCAGGGCCCCGTGGGGGCCCCTGCAGAGGCCGCGCCCCGCCAGGACCCGGCCCAGCCTCACCCTCCGTCTCTCTGCAGCTCAGGTTCCGGACAGTGATGAGCAGTTCGTCCCTGATCTCCACTCAGAAAACTGTAAGTGGAGTGGGAGTGGGGCCGGGGGACAGGAAGTGAGCAGAGGCAGGGACCCCAGGACCAGCCCAATCTGCCAAGGCGACGGTGCTGGCCAGGACCGAGGCAGCGAGGAGAAGACATGGTTCCCGGCTGGGGCCTGGGGCTCTCCCTGCCTGCTGTGCCACCTGGGGCAGACGCTGCTTCTCTCTGACCCTCCCGAAGGGAGGGGCGCAGGCAGGGCCCAGGCCTGTTGTCCTCGGCCCGTGGTGGCCACATCTGCAGGCAGCTCGGCCCAGGTGCTCCCCGTGGGCTCGGGTCAGCCCCCCACAGTTTAGAATACAGTCCGGCTCTAGTGCCAGTAGCGCCACTGTTCAGAAATGGCTCTCAGACAGACACGTTGCTGTCAACTGTCGTGAAGCGTGCACCCCTGCAGGCAGCAGACCCGCGGGCCACGGGGCATCTGCGGGGGCCTGGCTCACGTGGGCAGCCATGCCCAGAGGGTCTCAGAGAAGGCCACATTCTTCACAGATAATTGGGAGCAGGCAGCCTTAACCAGAGCAGCTCCTCAGCCCCAAGGAGAAGCCAGGTCCCTCCCTTGGGATTCCTGGGCCCCAGAAAAATCACAGGCCCCAAGCAGGTGGTGCTCGCTACCAGGAAGGAGCCTTCTGGTGACACGGGCTGCATGCAGTGCTTAGACTTTCAGATGATTTCCCTGGCTAATATTGGATATTAGCCAGCAGGGCATGATGGTGCACGCCTGTAATCTCAACACTCTCGGGAGGCTGAGGCAGGAAAATCTCAAGAGGAATTTAGGGAGACACAGTCTCAGAATAAAAAAGGTGTAGGGATGGAGCTCAGTGCAACGGCCTTGGGCTCAATCACCAGTACAGGAAAAAAAAAATTACATGAACACCAAAGTGTTCTTCAAGCGCCTGACCAGGGATCTCAGGATCCAGAGGGGAGGAGCCGCCTTGGAGGGCAGGAGTCAGCCTGCTGGGTGACACCTCCGGCCCTGCTGTGCCCACAGTAGCTTTCCATAGCCCGACCACCCGGATCAAGAAGGAGCCCCCGAGCCCCCGCGCAGAGCCGGCCGCGTCCTGCAGCAGGAAGCCACCGCCCCCCTATCACCATGGCGAGCAGTGCCTTTACTCCAGGTGAGGCTGGGACCTGGAGTCGGGTCAGTCGGGAGCACTCAGCCACGAGCAGACACTGGAGCGTCGGGACACGGGACAGCAGTGCACAGCCTCCAGAACACCTGCTGGTCCGTGTGTCTGTCCTGCTGACCGGCCGCTCTATTAGGCCCGGTTCCTGGGCAGGAAGGAGCAGGAGAATCCGACCCTGTCCTTCCGCCCTGCAGCTCACCTCCCTCGCTTCTGGGCCCCTCAACCCATCCCCCCTTACCCCCAGTGCCTATGACCCCCCCAGACAAATCGCCATCAAGTCCCCCGCCCCGGGCACCCCTGGACAGTCGCCCCTGCAGCCCTTCCCCAGGGCGGAGCCGCGGAATCTCCTGAGGTCCTCCAGCGGCCCTGGCCAGCCCCAGCCCAGCCACCGGTACCTTGGGGAGCGCGGGTAAGGGTGGGCCAGGCTCCACCGTCCCCAGCTGGGGGGGCAGGAAGTCACTCCGAGATGGGCTGACGATGCTTCCTGCTCTCCCCCAGCCCTGTCTTCCAGCAGCCCCTGGACACCTGCCGCTCCTTCACGCCTTCCCAGGGAGGGGCCGGGGACGCCCTGGCAGGCCCCTACCAGCACCCACTGCCTGAGCCCTGCCCGCCGTACCCACAGCAGGGCTTCAAGCAAGAGTACCATGACCCCCTGTACGAGCAGGCGGGCCGGGGCGGGCTCGGCGGGCATAGGTACCCCCGACCAGGAGTGCCAATCAAGCAGGAACAGGCAGACTTCGCCTATGACACGGGTGAGAGGCGCCTCTCTGGAGCAGGGGCGCCAGGCGGGTGGCACCGGCTCAGCAAGCAGCTCATTGCAGTCCTCCGTCTCCTGTGGGAGTTGAGTGTGGTGGCACAGGCCTGTCATCCCAGCCCTCTGGGAGGCTGAGGCAGGAGAAGCCCAAAGTCTAAGCCTAGCTTGGGCCATTTAGTGAGACCCTGACTCAAAGTAAAAGACGAAAGGGTCGGGGTGCAGCTCAGTGTGAAGGCCCTGGGTTCAGTGCCAGTGCTTTGGGGCAAGGAAGGAGGTGAAGGGGTGCAGACAACAGGAAGTGAAGGCTTTTACTCCTAACGGGTGTTTGGGGTTTAATTACCTAAGGCCAAGGTCTGAGCCCAGAGCAGGAGCTTGTGGGCTTGGGAGAGAACAGAGATGAACAGGATGTCCCCCCGTGGCCCCGTCCCACAGTGGAGGACGCTCTTCACACGTCCAGCTCCCGCTTCCCAGGGGACCCACATCCCTCTCACCCCGAAGCAGGGGGCCAGGGCCAGCTTGCTGTGAACCCCACTTCCGCCCACGCGGCTTGCTGCGACCATAAGCAGCAAGATTTCTTCCCCTTCCTGCCTCCTGCCACGTGTGCCAGCCCCAAAACCAACTTTCTTTGCAATTTTGCATTAGAAAAAATAAATTCAAACTGGAGGCTTGTAGCTGGCCGGAGAGTTAGAACTGCCCCTTCCTCTCGGGCCTGGCCTCCAGGCCTCAGCCTTGACCTTCCCGGCTGCCCGCTGGGATAGCATTAGTGCCACCCTTGAACTCCGCGGACCCCTCCCTCCTGAAAGGAGTCAGGAATTCCATTCACAAGGAAAAGGGTGAATGAACCCAGCCCTGCCCCTCCCTCCTACAGGTGTCGGGTTTCAGCCTCATTCCTAGTGGGAGGGAGGGACTGGGGCCGGATTGGCTGCTTCCTGAGGGGTGCAGCCAGGAGGTGTCGGCGCTGTGGAGTGGAATATGGTGGCTGGGGCCCTGAAAACAGTCCGGATCCATGACTTGTCTCTGACACACACACACACAAATATACACACACTTTCTCCCAGGCCCAGGGCAGGGAACTTGACCCGCCAGCCGGACATGAATCTGTTCCGGTCCAAGGGCGGCCCAGGCCAGGACACAGGACTCCTTCCCCGGAGGTTCACGTCGCCCCCTCTTCCCCCTGAGTGCACAGGAAACAGCTGCTCCCAGGATCCTGGCTCAGCTGTGCCATCCCAGCCCTTGCGCAGCGGGGCCCTGGACTTGGCAGTGGGCAGGCTGAAGGAGCCCCTGCCCAGATGCCCCCTGAACAGCACTCTGCTCCCCACAGATGTCCCCGGCTGTGCCTCGATGTACCTCCACACAGAGGGCTTCTCAGGGCCTGCTGCAGGTGACCAGGCCATGGGTAAGGCAGTCGGTCCTGCACACCACCAGGTGGAGGGAGGATCAGGGTCTTGGCAGTGAACCCTCTGATCCGAGCGCCCCACGTCCTCCCCAAGGTTATGGCTATGAGAAACCTTTGCGACCTTTCCCAGAGGACACCTGCATCGTCCCTGAGAAATTTGAAGGTCAGAGAAGTGACTTCAAGGGAGGGCCAGGGTCCCTGTGGGAATCACTGTTGTGGGAGGTGGGGACATGGGCCAAGCCCCCGAACACCCCAGGTGTGGAACAGGGTCACTGGGGACCCACAGAGCAAACCCCACACCTTCCTTGATGTCCAGGGGACATCAAGCAGGAAGGGCTCGGGCCATTCCGCGAAGGGCCGCCCTACCAGCGCCGCGGTGCCCTGCAGCTCTGGCAGTTTTTGGTGGCCCTGCTGGACGACCCCACAAACGCCCACTTCATCGCCTGGACTGGCCGGGGGATGGAGTTCAAGCTGATTGAACCTGAAGAGGTGGGTGCCGCCTGAGCCTTTTCTCTGGCCACCAGCGCCTGCCCGTCTCCACCACCCTAGAACTTGGCCCTTTGGTCCCCAGGTGGCCCGGCTCTGGGGCATCCAGAAGAACCGGCCGGCCATGAACTACGACAAGCTGAGCCGCTCGCTGCGGTACTATTACGAGAAGGGCATCATGCAGAAGGTCACCCAGGGCCCCGGTGGGCGGGGCGGGTGGGTCCAGGGGTGCAGCAGTGATGGTGGCCCATGGTTCCCTGCTCAGGAGAGCGCCAAGCACAGGAGACAGACATCCTGGCCCTGGCCCCGGCCCCAGCCCACACTGGGCACAGCAGGCTGACCGGACCTCTCCCTGCAGGTGGCTGGCGAGCGCTATGTGTACAAGTTCGTGTGTGAGCCAGAGGCCCTGTTCTCCCTGGCCTTCCCGGACAACCAGCGGCCAGCGCTGAAGGCAGAGTTTGAGCGGCCGGTCAGCGAGGAGGACACAGTCCCTCTGTCCCACTTGGATGAGAACCCAGCCTACCTCCCGGAGCTGGCCGGCTCTGCCCAGTCCTTCGGCCCCAAGGGTGGCTACTCCTACTAGGTCCCCGTACTGCCAGCCACCATGGCGCCACCTGTGTACATAGCCAGAACCTGAGCCCCGGTCAGGCAGATCCCTGTGTCCTAACTCTGGGAAGGGAGAGTGGAGAAAGGGCCCTGCTCAGCTCCACCTTGGGCTCCCAACTCCGGGCACCAGGCCTGGGGTTTCCCGAGTGCCCCACTTCCGCGACTCAGCCCCTCCAGGCTATGGCTGAATGCGCGGCTCTCTTCTTGGTGCTGTCTGGGGCAGGGGCAGGACCCTGGGGTGCAGCCAGGCAGAGGGATGGGCTCCTCCTCCTCCCTGACCCTAATAAAGGCCCTGCCTCCCTGAGTGTCTGCTGCTCTGTGCTCCCCAGGCAGTGCCAGGCCGGGACCTGACCTGGTATTTCTGCAACATATGCAGGGGACATCTGTGCACAGCCAGTTCTGCCTCCCAACCCAGGCAGTAGGCAGTGACCCTCTTGCACAGCTCCTCTGGGGAAGGGGCAGGGCCTGGGGTGTGGTCACCTGGGTGCAGCTATATGTCCTCCCACCCAGATGGGCACTGGGCTGCTGCTCTCCCCAGAGACAGGGTTCATCTAAGGACTGAGGGCAAGGTACCCACAGGGGGACCTGGCCAGGGCTGGAGGTGCCATGTCCCAGGGCAGGCCAGCGTTGGGAGGGGCATGAAGGTGTGGCCAGGCCCCGGGCTGGGTGGAGGCCCTGCCTGTGCCCACTGGGATATCAGTCCCCACCAGTGAACACCCCAGAGACAGCAGTGTGGTACTGAAGATGAGAGCAAGGGACAGGGAATCAGTTGGAAGATTTTAAAAAATCTATAATTTAATCCCACACGAAAGTGAGGCCACTGGGGGAAGGATCGCCGGTCAGGTGGGAGCCCCAGGTCGGGGAGAGGGGAGCAGTCCTCAAGGTGGGAGGGCAGGGAAGCGGAGTCCAGCACTGACCTTGGCTGCCTGCATCCCAGGATGGTGGCTCTGGGTAGACAAGAAACCCGCGCCCCCAGCCTGACACGAACACAACAGCTGCCCTCCCACCCCCAGGTGACCGTCACCACAGCTGCTCCGATGGACAGCAGAGACCCCACACTGCTGCAGGTGGTGATGCATACATGCTAACCTAGCTACAGGGGGGGGAGGCTGAGGCAGGAGCATCCCAAGCTCGAGGCCAACTCTGGGGGGCTCTGTCTTGAAAAGGCTGGGATGCAGTGGAGGTAGGGCTCCCCCAGTTCTACCCCCATTGCAACAAAACCCAAGCTTCTCTCCTTAGAGTGGGTGCTAGGCACAGCACCAGGGCAGTCTGGGCCCAGGAGCAGCCTTGGCACAGAGATCTGGGCAGGAGTTAAGACGGGGGCACCCAGCTCAGCAGCCCACACCCCATGAACAGCGTCCACAGGGTGCGTTCTGCTGCCTGGTGATGACACCTGTGTGTGACCCTCAGCAGCACGGCCTCATGTCCGGTACCGCGGGGCCCCCAGCACCATGAACTCATGGGGTAGCAGTGGCCACTGCCCAACAGGAAGCAGAGAGAACCAAGAGCAAGATCTGGGGCACAAGGTCAGCTTTGTGCTGGGGTGGGGGCGACAGGGATGCAAAATCCACTGAAGTCCCCAGAGGATGCGCACGTGTGCACGCACGCGCATGCACACACACACACACACACACACACACACACACACACGGAGTGAAGCACACTTGTGCCCTCGCCCAGGACGCCTCCAAAGGAAACGACACGGTGCACACTGAGCAGGGCCAGCTGGCAGCACCCTACAAGGCCGGTAACTCGGGCCACTCTGGCAGAGCCGGGCCTTGGTGCCCAGATCAGCTACAGGATTCTCCACCACACCCCTAGAGTGCAGAGCGGTGGCCCCTCAGCTAAAGACACACCACAGGAAGCCATTCTCGTTTCCTTAAGAAAATAAATATCTCCAGAGGTGACGGGAAGGACGCGGAGGGCTGGGAGGGCAGGGTGCAGACAGCATCGGGCTCCCGTCCCCCGGGCCGCCCTCCTGGAAGCGATACAGGGTGACCCCAAAAGTCCCCGACGGAGGTGAGGGTGCAGCTCCACCCTGCGGGACTGCACGGCCAGGGTGCGGGCCCAGGGCCTCAGCGCCGCCGGAAGGCTCTCGAGATCCTCCAGGCGTTGGGCTCCTCGTAGCGGTTGTACAGGGGCTCCAGGCGCTGCTGCTTCTTCTGCTTGCTGAGCTTGGTGGGGTCGGAGACCTTGAAGAAGGCGGGGGCGAACTCCACCAGCCAGCGCGGGTCGATGGTGGTGACCTCGCGCATGTACTCCTTCGTGGTCAGCACCAGCTCGTGGTACACCACCCTGCGGGACAGCGACACCGCTCAGCTCCGCCCGCCCCACCCTGCCAACACGTGTGGGTGACAGCCTCGCCCAGCCGCACAGCCTGCACCCGGGACACAGGGCTGCGGGACGGACAGCCTGCCACGCTTTCCCTGAGCCCAGTTTCTTACTCAAGAGTTCTGGGGTCCTGAAGAAGGACCCCAAATGCCAGGGGGGTCTGGGCAAGGCCCCAACCCTTCTACCACGGGAGCAGTGATTTCAAGTCATTTCAAGTCATTTTTACACCAGAGTCCTTAATAAGCACCGGGTTTTTTCCTTTCTCCTTTTTTTTGAGATAGGCTCTCCCTAGGTAGGTAGGCTGGCTTCGAATTCGCTATGTGGTCAAGGCTGACCTAGAGCTTCCCTCGATTCTTCTGTCTCCGCCTAAGTGCCGGGGTCACAGGTGTGTGCCCCACGCCCGCCCCAAGCATCCCGTTTCTCTTTTTTTTTGGTACTGGAGATTGAACTTGGGCCCTTGCTCTTATAAGGCAGGCAGCGGAACCACCGAGCCAAACCCCTGGCCCCATTTTTCTTTCCGTGCTGCTCTAACATGATCTGAGTCTCCTCACTAGTCGGCCCCCTCGATGCCCCCTTGCTCTGCTCCATAATGCTCTCTCCCAAAAAGCTTCACTGCGCCCCTTCCCGCCTCTGCCACTCCATGGCAGCAACACCAGGACACGGGGCTGGGGTGCTGCAAACTGACAGGTCCAGGGACCCCCAACCCCGGGCTGACACCTACCACTCAGGCTGCCGGTTGAAGAGGGCGCTGGAGGGGTGGATGTAGACCACCTGCTGGTCGATGAGCGTGCGGTAGCCCTCCTGCGGGTCCTTCTTGGCTGCGTTACGAAAGAAGCCGCTGCAGATGGCCTTCTGCACACGCACTGTGGACTTGCCACATGACACTACGTCCAGCTTGTGCCTGTGTGAGTCAGATGGAGACATAAGCCACGCACTCCACAGAAGACGGCGCCAGGCCACTGCCTTGAGGTCCCCACAGTGGTTCCCAGTGCCTGCCGTCCGGCTCTAAGGGCACCACAGCTCCACCCAGTGGGTACAACAGTCAGGCAGGAGTGCAATCCTAGACCCAGTGTGCTAGGGGGTAGGCTTGGGTTTGGGGATTTTTGTGTTCATTGAGACAGGGTCTGGCTATGCAGCCCAGGCTGGCCTTGAACTCACTGTGATCCTCCTGCCTCAGCCTCCCAAGAGCTGGGACAACAGGCGTGCAGCACCACACCTGGCTTCTAGAAGCTGGCTTCTAGAATCAAAGTATTTCCAACAACCAGCACCGCCCCTTTTATAGGAACTTTCTGGGGCTGCACTGTCACCCAGGGAAGAGCACGAGGTGGGAGCCCACAGCCTGACATGCCACCCAGGGACCCCACACCAGCCCAGGCCACACCCCCACCTGTCCATGATGCCCAGCATCTGCTTGCGGATGTCCTGCGCCCGGCGCAGGGAGCGGGCCTGGATGAAGTTCTCATAGCACCAGGGGTTGGAGAACTTGTTGTTTTTCCAGGAGTTGTACACGGCCAGCAGTGTGAGGTGGTCACCCTCCGTCTGGTGGAACTTGGCCTTCTTCTGGTCAGCGAGGGCTTGTTTGTCCTGCCAAGTGGGGGCTGGTGGTCACCTCCCGCTCATTTCCCAGCCCAGCAGCTGCCCACCCCCACCGCCCGCAGTCCCGGTCACCTTGGGCCTGTAGAAGACGTTCTGCACGGACAGCATGGACACGATGGTCAGCATCTCCTCGCTGCAGCCCAGGTGCACTGACATGATGAGCATCTTGCACAGCATCGGCTCCAGCGGGAACTCCGCCATCTGTGACGGGCACAGGGGACACCACACTGCAGGTCCGAGGCCGCCGTGGGAACCAGCCCAGGTTTCCTTCCACCCCGACAAACCCCGATGGAGCACGGGAGGCCGAAACACAGCTCCCCTCAGGACAGCTGGGGCCCTGCGCACTCTGTAAGAGTAAACTGGTCCGGGACTGGGCCCAGGACAGTGAGCTGTGACCAAATCTTCTCCTGAGAACAGAAAACGCTTCCCAGGGGTGGTGGAGAGAGCACCCAGGCCCGTAGCCGCAGCCTGTCCAGCACTCACCCTGCGGCCCAGGCGGGTAAGCAGGCCCTCGTCGTCCAGGGCCCCCAGTGTGTAGAGCTGCTCCATGGCCGTGATGAGGGTCTCCATCGGGGGGGCGTCCATGAAGTCGAAGGACAGCAGGTCGTTGATGCCCATGGCCTGGGAGGGGACAGAGTGGCTCAGGAGAGCGGACAGGGAGGGGATGCACTCAGCAAGGGCAGAGGGTCTCACACACACAGAGCCGCCTGAAACTCAAAATACCAGAAAGCAGGTGCCTGCTGGGTGTGGCAGCGCACACCTGTCCTCCCCGCCCTTGGGAGGCTGAGGCAGGAAATGGCAGAGTCGGAGGCCACCTGGGCTACACAGAAAGCATGTCCTTTCTCATGGTGTAAAAACGGGCCAAGGACTGAAGTAGACATCTCTCTGAAGAAGGACAAACGCCCACCAAGCACTGGTGCAGGGAAAAGCGAACCAAATCACTGCAAGGGCCAGAGGTGTAGCTCGGGAGGCCTGCCAGGCCGCAAGGTCCTGGACACATCCCCACCGCCTCGGACACACCTTCAGGATGGCCTGAGCCGCAGCAACGGCAGAACCAAGCTGTGGTGAGGAGAGGAGGCCTCACACTGCTGGGAGGAACCCGACGCCGGGGCTGCCTCAGAGAGCAGCTGAGAGATGGGCCTAGGCCCATGCCACCGGTCACTGTGCCCCTGCTCTGCCTGGGACCAGGAGGCTGAGTGCGGAGGAGTGGGATCCGCACAGCGTAGTTCTCAGCACGGCCAGAAGGTGGCACCACCCCAGGCAGCCAGCAGGTGCTGGAGGCGTTCAGCGCACCTGCCTGGGAGAGCAGTGAGTGTACACCCCGGGTAGGTCTGGCCGTCTCCTTGCTGGGCGTTGCCACCTCTGCCAGAGTGTGCGGACCACACAGGCGACCACGCAGGCTGCTAAGCTCTCGGGCCACGGATGCCTGGGGCCATAACACCGGACCGTGCTGGGAGAAATCACAACCACAGCGGCAGAGTAAACGGACCAGACCGTGAGCCCACACAGAGCTGTAGGGAGGCAGAGGCAGGGCCCGCACCCACGGCTGTCCCAGCTGGCACCTGAACGCTAAACAAGAGCAAGCTCTGCCTGGCTCTGCCCGGCTCCACCTGGCCACACAGCAGCGGGGACCGGGATGGGACGGGTGAGGGTTCAGGACGAGGGCCCAGCCGGGCACTCCCAGGATGCCTGCTCCCCAGGAGCAGAATCCGGTCACGGGCGTCAGCCCATTTCCCTAATTCCCTTCTTGTAAACGCTCTAATGGAAACCCTCTCACAACCCAATGTCTGGCTGCTCACTGGGGAAAGGTGACCACAGGGACCAGTCTAGGGAGGGGACGTGCCCGCCAGCTACCTTGAGGGACAGCACGGTGCTGGCCAGGTTGGTCCTCTGGATCTCGGGCACGTTGGTGGTGAGCATCTCGTCGCGGTAGGCACGCTCCGTGTACAGCCGGTAGCACTTGCCAGGGCCCGTGCGGCCTGCCCTGCCCGCACGCTGCTTTGCCTGGGCCTGGGGACACGTGGGGACAAGGCCGTCGGACATCGGACATCTGCATCTGTGCCCTTCCTTGGGGGCCGTTTCCAAAGGGACGCGCACCACAGTCCCTTGCCCACACTGGTGCTTGGATCCACACGTGTAGGCCAAGAACACAGAGGCCTGAACGTGGTGACAAATCCGGCCTGCAGTGCAGGGAACAAGAACCAGCCAGGACCCTGCACTGTGTGGACTCAGCGCTCGGTGACACACGTACGGCCACTCAGTGCTCCCTCCGGCTCCAGGGCCTGCCTGGGACCGAAGCTCTACACAGAGCCAAACGCGGGCTGCGCTCACTGAGGTGCCCGATCTCTCATCTCCTCAGACTCCCAGATACCCCTGCAGGCCACAGCCGGGAGAACTAACTACATCAAAGATAAAATTGCCTTTCCTCCCAGGCTGCCACCACCGGATGAGCACAGGCGGGGCTCAGGCTTGGTTCCCGAGTCCACATGGCTGCCCTGGATCCGCTGTGACAGTCTCATCCTCTGCAATACAGGCTGGCAAGAGACGGACGACGCCAGCCTGGAGACACGCAGACACCCAGGACCCTGCCGGACCCCGCATTAGCTGCCATGGTGCCGCGAGTCAAAATGAACGCAGTTCGCAGCTTTTACAGACAGATGATCAACATGAACTGGGCGTGGTGGCACACACCTGCAATCCCAGCACTTGGGAAACTGAGGCAGGAAAATCTCCACCAGCTGGGACACCAGCCTCGCTACGTAGTAAGTTCGAGACCAGCTTGAACTACACAGCGAAAGCCTATCTCAAAAAGCCAAAAAAGCTGTAAGTGAATAAGCAAATAGCTCAGTTCTATCCCCAGTTCCAGGGGTGAGCAGGGGAATAATACAAGCCTGCTGAAAACATTAAAACAATATATAAAAGAACAAGGAAGTCAGGCACGGTGACACACACCTAAAACCCCAGCACTTGGGAGGCTGACGCAGGAGTATCGCTGAGTTCAAGGCCAGCAAGAGCTCATCTCAAAAAACCCCCAAAAAACAGTAAAGAAAACAATGCCTATCAAGCAGGGCATGGTGACCCATACCTGTAATCCTAGCTACCTGGGAGGCTGAGGCAGGAGGATTGCAAGTCTGAGGACAGCTTGGGCAATCTAATGAGACCATGTTAAAAATAAAAAGGGCTGGGGGTGCAGTCCCTGTGTTCAGTTCCCTCTAGAGAAGAACAAAAAAGCTTACCATGCACCAGTACAGAACCCAGCACAGCAACACTCAGCTCTGTGCTTCACCCAGGTATATCACAGCCCGCCACAGCCCAAGCCCTCCACGGCCCGCCACGGCCTGCCACGGCCCACCAAGCTCACCAGGTGCACTACTCTGCTAAAATGTGGCCACCAGTCATTGTTTTCTCAGTACTGGGAACTGAACTCGGTGCCTTGACACTAGCTACACCCCAGCCCTTTCTAGTGTTTATTTTTTTAACTTTGACACAGTCTCCCTAAATCATGAAGTTTCCTACCCAGGCTGGGCTTGAACTTCCGACCCTCCTGCCTCAGCCTCCCAGAGTGCTGGGATGATAGGCATGTAGCACCTTGCCCAGTTCAGGCCACGCATCAGTGTCATACCAGTCACAGTACTGTGCAGTTCACTTTTCCAAATAACCCATCACAGCTACACGCACCAGCACGGAACACAGACGCACACCCTGTGGGGTGGGTGAAGTGTAGGGTTAGTGCGCTGCCCCCAGGAAGCTCAGTCCAGGGGGCCCCTTGGCTGGTGAAGGGTGCAGACTCCTACCCCCAACTCTCACAGCCTAGAAAAGGGACAGCTGGCTTAGAGGGACAAACGCTGTTGCCACACTGCCCTAAAAAGATGATCAGGAAATTCTTCCATAATCACCAAAGGATCACAGTCACCTCACGAATTACCGCTAACTCAGATACACGGGTAAGTAGGGCTCCTTAACACACATGTTCCAGCCGGGCGTGGGGGCGCACGCCTGTAATCTCACCACTCGGGAGGCTGAGGCAGGAGGACTGCTGTGAGTTGGAGGCTAGGCTGGGCTACACAGCAAGACGCAGTCTCAAAGCACAAAAAAATGTTCCTTCTACCTACAGCAGGTCATCTAGGAAGCTAGGATTCAAGTTTTACAAAACTCGGTTATACGGACTAAGACTGCAGAGGAACAGAGACAATTTACCCCTCTACCGTGCAGGCCCAGGCCCAGGGTGCGCGGCGGCCATACCTGCGAGATGGGCGTCACCACGAGCTGGTCGATGCCCGTCTTGGAGTTGTAGACCTTCTGCTTCACAAAGCCAGGATCCACCACATAGTAGATGCCATCGATGGTCAGCGAGGTCTCTGCGATGTTGGTGGCAATCACGACCTGCAGACGAGGCCCGTGGAGTGGAGTGGAGTGGGAGGCACCTGCCAAGCCCAGCTGCCTCTTTCCCCACAGGGCCAGGCTGGGCGGGTGGACCCCAAGCTACAGAAGGGATGGAGCCGGCCCTGCCCAGAGCCAGTGCTGCTGACTGCCCCTCGGGGAAAGCAGCGGGCTCCTGGCATCCCCTGTGCCAGTGCAAAATGCGCTTTCCTTCCCCGGCGAGACCCAGATGCAGAGCAGAGCGGCCTGGCGCTGCCCCAGATCGGGAAACACAATCCCTGGGGATCAGGGCTGCACAGACGGGCAGGCTGGACCTGGCCCACAGACGGCTCCCCGCCTGGCCGCCTGTCCAGCACGGCTTCCCGAGGAGGCCTGGGGCAGGGTTCAGGCCAGAGCTTGAGACCCGGGAACCTCGGTGTGTGAGACCTGCCCTCTGGGCCGCTCAGCGGCTACGTGGCTTCCCAGGTCTTGACCCCATCACTGCAGGAAGCTTCAGAACCACCTGTCCCCCAAAGGAAGCACAGCGCCAGAGTGGCTGGAGCCGCACACACAGCCTGGTGCTGGCCTGTGCCGCGCGTGCCATCTTTTTTTGGGGGGGTACTGGGGATCAAACTTGGGCCCTTGTGCTTTTGAGGCAGGTGGCAGCGCCACTGAGCTAAATCCCCAGCCCCTTTGTTTCTTTTCTAAAAACTTTTTTTTTTTTTTGGTTTTCTGAGACAGGGTCTTGTTGTGTAGTTTAGCTGGCCTTGAACTCAGCAATCCTCCTGCCTCAGCCTCTGGTTCTGTGCTAATGCTCCCCTCATCTGTCTGTAGCTGCCTGAGTTGTTTCCCCTCTAAGTATGTCGCGAATAACAGCACTACAAATACTGGTTTGAACTGTCAGTGTGTTGTTCAGACCTGGAGATCGAACCCAGGGCCATCACACTGAGCTACAGCCCCAGGGTGTAAGCTGAGCCAAGGTCTAAGTTGCACAGGCTGGGCTTGAACTTGCAATCTTCATGCCTCAGCCTCCCAGAGTGCAGAAACAACAGGTGTGGGCCACCTCACCTGGCTTGGTTTACAGGTTTTCATGTATGTGCATGCACACACTTGTGTGCACGCACACGCACACACGCACATTTCTATTTCCCTGTGGCTATTTTCCTGGGAGACAGATGGGCTCAGATAACAAGCTGGAACAGGGACCTGTGGTGGGTGCTGGGATCACAGGGAAAGTCAGCACCTCCTCCAGCCTCCCCACTGTTTTCTGGGGAACTGGGGTTGAACCCAGCTACATCCCTAGCCCTTTTCATTTATGAGACAGGTTCCTTCTATGTGACCCAGGCAGGGCTGGAACTTGCAACCCTCCTGCCTCAGCCTCCCAGCTACTCCTGCGGACCCATACTTGGGCTGCCCCAGTATGAAGGCCACGTTTCCTCTCCTCACTGGCCCAGTCTCAGGCTTTCTGTCAGAGCAGTAGAAGATGGACAGACATGGATGTGAGCGGGTGCCTTTGTCCTCCCGGCACCTCCCGCGCTGCACACACTTGTACTCAGCTCTAACCCCGGACCACGCAGCCGGCTCCTGCAGGACCAGCCACAGCCATCTGGGACACTCGTGCTGTCACAGGACTCGGAGAGCTTCCCTGATCCACAGGGGACACCTGCCCTGTCCTGCTGCCTCCTTGTCATAGGTGAAAAGCCCAGCAGAGTGGGGAGTGGTGGAGCACGCCTGTCATCCCAGCACTTGGGAGGCTGAGGCAGGAGGATGGCTGTGAGTTTGAGGCCAGCCTGGGTTACAGAGTAAGAACCTGTCTCAAAAAAAAAACAACAAAAAAAAAGCTGGGCACGGGCCCCACAGGACACCAGTCCAACTGTGAGGCAGTGGACAGGGTACCTGGAGCAATTAGGCGTTAACCTAAAAACTGTGCCGAACAGGAAGCAAGGAAAAAGAGAAGTCACGGCGCACCCAGCCCTGCGGACACAGGTGGGCAGCTGTTACCTTCCTGCTGCCGGGTGGGGCCGGGTCGAAGATTCGGGTCTGCATCTCGCTGGGCAGAGCAGAGTACACGGGCAGGATGATCAGCTCGGGGACATCGGGGCCCAGCGACTTCATCCTCTCGTAGAGGATCTCACAGGCCGTGTCAATCTCCTCCTGCCCGGTCAGGAAGACCAGGATGTCACCTAGAAGAGTGCGGAACAGGGCCGGGGCTCAAGCTCCGGGCTGCACACATGGGGGCAGGCTCACTGCCTTGGCTTCGCTCCTGTCCTGCGTTTTCTTTAACAGATAGTTCTGCTACGCTGGTCCCAAGTATCTGGGCTCAAGTGATCCTCCTGCTTCAGCCTCCCAAGTAGCTGGGACGGCAGCACTGGCTTGTGCAAGCTTTGGGCAATGGTAACAGACACGCCAAAGACAGGAAATGCACTTTCTCGTTCTGGCCTCTGGCTACACCCAGACATTGTCCACCACTGTGTGAGTAGCCCGCAGGCCACTCTTACATTTTTCACCAACATTTCAAAGACGCAGCCTGAGCTGCACAGACCTGTACTTCAAGGGAAAGAGACTCTCCGGCCAGAGCCCGCCTGGGAAGCCAAAGCACCTGAAGGCCTGCGCGGCAGCTCACAGAGGCCCTACGTTCGGCCCCAGGCAGCACCTCTGCGGGTCAGCAGCACCCACCTGGCGGCTCAGTGAGGTGGATCTGCATGACAGTGATGAGGCTGGCGTCCAGGTAGTCGGTCTCGGGCTCCTTGGTGTACAGGATCTCCACGGGGTAGGTGCGGCCCGGGATGGTGAAGATGGGAGCCTCGTAGAAATACTGGGAGAACTTGACCGCGTCCAGCGTGGCCGAGGTGACAATCAGCTTCATGTCCTGCCGCTTCTGCACCGTCTGCGGGGAGAGGGGAGCAGGGGCTCAGGACGAGGACCTGGCTCCCCAGCCCCTGCTTCTCCCTGGTCCGCTCCTGGGCCCAGCCCCTGGAGACCCCACCCCAGCCATGCTCCCGAGGGGAAGGGCGAGGCCAGCACCTTCTTCAGCAGCCCGAAGAGGACGTCGGTGTGGATCGTGCGCTCGTGGGCCTCGTCCAGCATGATGATGGCGTACTGCGTCAGGTCAGGGTCGATCAGGCACTCGCGCAGCAGCATGCCGTCTGTCATGTACTTGATGACGGTCTCAGGACTGGTGCAGTCCTCGAAGCGGATGGTGTAGCCCACCTGGAACAGCACAGACGTGGCTCAGACACGGTCCCTCGGCACGGGTGTGGTGCCGGCAAGGCTTCAACCACAACCGCTTTCTGGTTTTTGGAGACAAGGTCTCCCTGTGTAGCCCAGGCTGGCCTCAAACTCTTGGCGACTCTCCTGCCTCAGCCTCCCCAGGGATGGGTTTGCAGGAACCATCGTCTCAATACAGAAATCTGGGGCCAGGGATTTAGCTCAGTGGTTCCGCCATCTACCTCACAAGCACAAGGTCCCAAGTTCGATCCCCACGATTGGGAAGAAAAAAACAAAACAAAACAGAAATTTTACCCCAATGTTCAGTTTTCTACACGGGGCTGTGACCCTGGACGGAGGGCACCCCATAGCCTCCAGGAAAAGCCTGAAGAGGAGCATCCCCATCTGCCCTCTGGGCAGCCTCCCCACCTACCTCCTGCCCCAGGCAGCAGCCAAACTCCTCTGACACCCTCTTGGCAACGGACATGGCGGCCACACGCCTGGGCTGGGTGCAGCCGATCTTGCCCCGAGACGTGTAGCCGGCCTCTGCCAGGTACTGGGTGATCTGTGTGGTCTTCCCAGACCCTGTCTCGCCAATGACGATGAGGATCTGGTTGTCGTGGACCGCCTGAGGCAGGGAGACATGGTCACCCACAGCACTGCCCCCCGCCGCCACCCCCAGATCCCGTCCCCTCCCCTGGGTCACGCCTAGCCCACCCTACGGTAACCACGCAGGGTTACAGTCAGCAGCAGGACTCCTCCAGGGAGCACATCCAGCCTACGGCAAAGCAGCCCCTGGAGCAGCGTCCTCGCCTGCAGGGCCATCGGCCAGCACCCCGACTTTAGCTTCCGCCTGGAGCTGTGGGCCTCAGGCCTCGCACCCCAACGCTGCCCATGGGGGTGGCAGGCCCCCACTCCAAACACATCTTCCTTGGCTCAGCAGAAAGAGCCTCGGCGGGCGCCGGCACCCACCTGCACCAGCTGGCCCTTCAGCCTGTAGATGGGCAGCCCCTCCCGCTGCTCCACGATGGACAGCTGCGTCTTCTTGCCGTAGGACGCCTTGTTGCCCCCGAACGCGTGCTTCTTCCACTCGGGGATGTCGCTGGGCATCACCCCGATGCCCCGCATGTTGGCCGCGATCTGCCTGCCCTCAGCTGGAAGGAGACAGCCACTGAGTCTGGTCCCCGAGCCCGCAGCCCAGGCTCCCTGAGGGCCTCTGTAGGTCACCCGCCACGACCCCGCCGGCCTGGCCCTGCCCCTCAGTCCCCTCCCTCTGCTGGGCTGGCCCGGCCGCAGCCTGCAGCCCAGTGTGTGTATCTGGCCGCTCTCTTGGCGTAAGGTTTTCAAGGCTAACACACTGCACACCTGTGACCGCAGCCCAGAAGAAGACTGAGGCACGAGGTTTGCAAGTTCTGGTCCTGCCAGGGCAACTCAGCGAAGCCCTGTTTCTAAATAAGGAGTGAAAAAGGGCTGGGGCTGCAGCTCAGGGCTAGAGCACCCCTGGGTTCCACCCCCCGGCACAGGACGAACGGTCAGCCCGGACTCCTGTGAGAAGCGGACAGTCTTCAAGGTGCTCTGGGATACGCAAATGCACCATGGCCAAAGCCCCGGAAGAGGGAGCCCGAGGCAGAGGACAGGGGCGCTGAGGAGGAAACCGCTCAGTGAGGGTGCTGGCCATCCCACGGCAACCGCTGCCACCACAGCTGCTCTCCTGACTCCGTCGTCCGCCCGCCGTGGACCGAGCCAGAGCCGCCGTCCACAGGCCAGGCCCCGGCCTTCCCGTCCCCACTTCACGCCTGGCCTCCAGCCCATTATGCCACGCGCACAGACACGCAGCTGAGGGGAGGACACGGTGCGAGCTTCCGCGACTCAGGCTCAAGTCCCCGTCTCCACCCGTGTTGTGAGGCGCAGCACAGCAGACTCACCTGCAGCCCAGTCAGCTAAATCGCCCACAAGGGGTCTCACGCACAGGTTTCAGCTACACACTTTTTTCTTTTATTTTGCAGTGCCACACTGGGGACTGAACTCAGGACTTTTACCCTGACCTACATCCAACTCTTATTTCTCGTTTTGACACAGGATCTTGTTTAGTTGCCCAGGCTGGGCTTGAATTCACGATCTTCCTGTCTCAGCCTCCTGGAGTGCAGGGATGATAAACACCCAGCACTACGTCTGTGTATCATCTTTAGAATCAAAAACAAAGTTGGGAGGCTGTTTAGACACTACGTAGCCCAGGCTGGCTTTAAACTGGCAGCAATCCTCCTGCCTCAGACTCCTGAGTGCTGGGATTACAGGTGGGTGACATCACTCCCGGCTTCAAAATAAAGATTTTTAAGTTACTCAGAAAATTAAAATTCAGCCAACCTATGGTAAACAGTTTTTTGTTTCACTTCCAGCACCTGTGCTCAAGCCCCCCGCCCCGTGGACCGAGCCAGAGCCGCCGTCCACAGGCCAGGCCCCGGCCTTCCCGTCCCCACTTCACGCCTGGCCTCCAGCCCATTATGCCACGCGCACAGACACGCAGCTGAGGGGAGGACACGGTGCGAGCTTCCGCGACTCAGGCTCAAGTCCCCGTCTCCACCCGTGTTGTGAGGCGCAGCACAGCAGACTCACCTGCAGCCCAGTCAGCTAAATCGCCCACAAGGGGTCTCACGCACAGGTTTCAGCTACACACTTTTTTCTTTTATTTTGCAGTGCCACACTGGGGACTGAACTCAGGACTTTTACCCTGACCTACATCCAACTCTTATTTCTCGTTTTGACACAGGATCTTGTTTAGTTGCCCAGGCTGGGCTTGAATTCACGATCTTCCTGTCTCAGCCTCCTGGAGTGCAGGGATGATAAACACCCAGCACTACGTCTGTGTATCATCTTTAGAATCAAAAACAAAGTTGGGAGGCTGTTTAGACACTACGTAGCCCAGGCTGGCTTTAAACTGGCAGCAATCCTCCTGCCTCAGACTCCTGAGTGCTGGGATTACAGGTGGGTGACATCACTCCCGGCTTCAAAATAAAGATTTTTAAGTTACTCAGAAAATTAAAATTCAGCCAACCTATGGTAAACAGTTTTTTGTTTCACTTCCAGCACCTGTGCTCAAAGTGCAACCAGCCAGCACACTCTAACGGAGAGGGGAAACTGAGGCTAGCCCCCCGCGACCACCGTGGGGCCCTACCGTCAGGCAGGGGGTCGACCCAGTGCTTGTTGAGGCCCATGGGGATGGAGTCCATCTCGGCCTCCCGCTGCGCCTGCTTCAGCTCCCGCCGCTCCTTGGCCAGCGCGCTCTGCATCATGGCGGCCTGGGACAGGGAGCCGTCTGGGTTCTGCGGGGAGGGAGGGGCGTCACTCACATAGGCCACGAAGAGCAAGGCTCACCTCAGGACGGCAGACACGGCAAGGGCCACCGAGGGCTGGGGTGGCGTGAAGGGCATGGGAGGGACAGGAAGGGACCCTGCTGTGCAGCTGAGAGCTGGGGTCGAGGCCAATGCGCACACCGGGGAGGCGCCGACCATCGACCTATGCACAGGGGACCCGGCGCAGGAGTGGGGCGCACACCTGCAGCCCGTGTGCACCCCAGGAGGCTGAGGCAAGAGCACTGCCAGCTCCAGCCCTAGGTTCAATCCCAGCACCACAAAGGGTGGGGGCCACGCGTCCCGAAGGGTGGAGTCTGCCGTGGTGCCGGCGGTCATGCAGGCGGCAGAGTGGCCACCTCGCTCTCAGGGCAGGAGCGCAGCCCGTCGCCTCACCTTGACGATCTTGATGGGGCTCATGTCCATGCTCTGCTTTGTGTGGCCTCGCAGGAATGGGGGCTCCTCCTCCACCAGCTCTATCTCCAGGTCCTCATCTGGGTCCAGAAGGGAGAGGGGCCACAGGAGAGGGAGAGCGGAAGAGAGGTTGGCTCATTTCCTTAAGACAGGAATTTCTATGAGCTCCGATGATCTTGGCCCACAGAGGCCTCCGAAAGGGAGGGCAAAATGAGGGACTCGAACCCGCGACCGCCCTCCTCCCCCAGCCCCAGGAGATTCCCAGGCATTTGCGCCTGGTCCAGGAAACAGTCAGGGCGCTCTGGGGAGGAGGCTCAGGCTGTGGAGAAACACCTGGGCTCTGATAGCCTGCGTGGCGTCAGGGCGCACCACCCCACTGTTACAGAGAAATTCTTTACCCGCGGTGGTAGAGGGACAAAAAAAGGCTTCAAAATTAGTCGGAAACCAGGCATGGTGGGCACACCTGCCGACCCCACACTCGGGAGGCAGAAGCCAGACTGCTGCTAGTCTGAGGCCCGCCTGGACCGCTGACCAAGACCCCGTCTCAGAATGGAAAATGACTGCAGGCGAAGCTCAGGGCAAAGGCTCTGGGTCCAAGCCCAGTATGGGGGAAAAGGAAAAAGAGGCCGGCAGTCGCCCCCAGGAACAGAGCACGATTCAGGGGCTCAGGTGCACTGGTCACGCTGCCGCTGTTCCAGGACCCAGTCCAGCTGTGCAGAGCCACAGCTCAGACTGACCCGGGCGATCGGGGCCCATGGGACGATGACTGAGCCACGCCAAGCTCACCCCAAGTGCGGCTGCTGGAACTTCTCACGTCCCGGAAACACAGGCAGCACGCGTGACACACAACTGCCACACCAGAGAGCTTCCTGCTTCCCTCCGGAGGCCACAGGCCTGGGCCACGGTGGCTGCCTGTCCACCACCCACCCTCGCCCACGAGCCTGGCCCAGGTGCTACCTTCCTCGTCGTCCACCTTCGGGAGGATGCCCGTCTCCTCGTCGAAGTCCGGAAACTCCTCCTTGGAGAGGACGTTGGCCGCGATCATCTAAGCCAAGGGACAGAGCGACACCATCACTCCCTGGGGCCGGGCCAGCAGCCCCAGCGGGAGCCCAGGTCTCTCCTCCTCCTCCCACCCAGGACGTCCCTCATGCCCTCCTGGGCCTGCGCGTTCTCCCTGACAGTCATCGGGTGCGGCCCCCACTGTGCTTTTCCCGGACTCGTCACTGTCCCGGCCGCCCAGGCGGAAGCCGTGCTCAGCTGGCTGCGCCTTCACATTTCCCAGGAGGAGGACACAGCAGCAAGGACCAAAACTGCGACTGCTGCACCACAGTCCCCGGGGTCACACCTCCTCCCCGCCAGGCCGACCCAGCGCCCACCTGCTTGATCTCCCACTTCTCGGGGTCCGAGATACGCGTCAGACGCTTGCGCTCCAGGGAATCATCCTCCACCTCGGGGGCGCTGACCAGCGACAGGTGGCTGGGCCGGTCCGGGTTCCGCATAGACGTCTCCTCGCTGGCCTCCCCGACCAGGTTCCGCCGCCGGTTTGGGTTCAGGTCCTCTCCGCTCTCCTGGTCCACGTCCTGAGCAAAGAGCAGGGCGTCGGCTCCCTTGCTGCCCAGACGTGCCCGGCCACCCTGCACCTGCCGCCGCCGCACCCACCTTCATGCTCAGGCTGGTCTTGGTCCCCGTGAAGGACAGCACTTTGACCTTGACCCGCTGGCCCTTGCTCACCACGTCCGCCACGTTGGCCACGCGGCCCTCACGCCGCAGCTCAGAGATGTGCACCAGGCCTTCCCACCGCTTCCTGGGAGAGGAGACACTGCTGGGCACCACCCGCTGGCAGGACAGGGGTGGCCATAGCCAGAGCGAGGTGCTTGGGCTCCTCCCTGACCCCGAAAACAGGAGGGAAGGGAGGGTGAAGAAACAGAAAAGGAGAGGGAAAGGAAAGTCTTCACCTCACAAGAAGGGAGCCACACAATCATGAAGGCTCTGCATCCCCAACCTTGCAAAGGAAAGGAGCTGGGGACAAAGACACAAATTCTCAGCCCCCCAGCACGGATCCTGAAGGCCCTCAGGGGACGGTTAAGTGCCCTACTGGGGCACTGCAAAAACAAGGATGCCCGAGGTGGCACAGGCCAGCACCCTGGGAGGCTGAGGCAGCGAAATCACGAGTTTGAGTCCTGTCTGGGCAACTTGGCAAGAGCTTGTCTCAAACTGAAAAAGGAAAATGGGCTGGGGACGTAACTCAGTGCAAAGGCCCTGGGCTCCATCCCCGCACGGAAAAAAGCAAGTCAATTTCTAAGAGCTTAGCAGAGCGGATCACCGAACACATCCAACAGTTTCACAGCTCAGAACCACATCTCTGCAGTGACCGATGCCGTGGCACCAGATCCTACCTCAGCCCCTCCAGCTGCACGAAGCACCCGAACTGCATGATGCTGGTGACCTTGCCATTGTAGATGTCGCCAATGGCCGGCTCCTCGGGTGGCGGGCGGTCCACGTGCTTGTCCCGCCACCTGTCCAGGCTCCTCTCCCCATACTTGTCCCGGGGGTCCTTCCGGTCCTTGGCGGGGCTCTGGCTCCTGCTCCTGGACCGGTACCTGGACTTCCCTCTATTCCTCTCCTGGGCCCGGGAGTGAGACCGCGAGCAGGACGGGTGCCTGTGCCTGTGGTCTCGGTCTCCTCTGTCTCTGACTCTGTCCCGGTCCCGGTCCCGGCTCCGGCTCCGCTTTTTCTTCTTCATCCTGTCCCTAATAAATCAACAAGCAGCTATTTGAGAAAGAAACCCCCAGACCTCATGCCCGCTTCCCTGAGCGCGCAGTGTGGCACCGTGCACCTGGCAGGGCCAAGTGACGTCGAGACCCAGACGTCCCTGGAGACTGGAAGGCCCAGCCGACTGCTCTCTGCTCCGCGCTTCACACTCACTGCACACACACTTGTGCGGAGCCCCGAAAACAGACCCGGAGCACACGCATGGCCGGCCGCACTCCGCAGCCTCCTGCATCCTGTCTCGTTCGGTCCACAGAATCAGCCTGCATGGCGCCCGGAAGTTCCCGAGGACGGGGCCCAGCGACATACCGGTGCTCCGCGTCTCTCTGCTTCTCCTGGCCCGTGGCGCTGGGCATCAGGGCCTCCAGCTCTTTCAGGACGTCCACGGCGACCTTCACGTCATCCTCGTCCAGCATGGTCTGCGGGGTAGAGGGGGACGCGCATGAGTCAGCGCTCTGGGGACAGCGATGGCGGCCCCTTCTCCACTGCTGGGACTAGGACTTCCAACAGGGCAGAGGCTGAGTGATTCCCACCACAGAGCTGCTCTGCCCTTCACAGAGCTCAGAAAGGCCACGCGGAGTCAGCAGGGGGTGCCCTTGCTCTGTGCCCACCCAGCCCCTGCTTGTGACTCCCCTGGTCCTGCACCTGCAGCAGTGACTGCCCACGACTGCCTGCCCAGCATCCCCAAGGGACAAATCCACAAAGTGCTGGCTGTGGGACACCACGCCACGCCCCGACAGCACAGCAGGACGCTGCCAGCAGTGGTGTGCAGGCCGGAAACAAACAACACCATCTATCTCTGCGTTCGGCTCGAGACAAGGCCTCCCAGCAGCCCAGCCTCAGGCGCCCCGTGCTTGGAGGACAGGTGCCCGCCGCGCCAGCCTCCACACCGCCTTGTCTGGGACTTGAGCACACACAGGCTTGGGGTCTCGGGGCGCCACCGTGCGCTTCGCCTCTGCACTGCCATCTCGCCCGCCCCACGCCAGCGCCAGGGCACCACAGAGGTGCTGGCCACAGGCGCTACTCAACAGATACTCGGTGAAATCAAATTGAAAACGCCTCAAAAATTAGACTCCTAATATGTCATGGAAACCAAAAGAAATCTCTTCTCACACGTCGGACCATCCCGCAAGCCTGCGTGCTTCACGGCCATCTCTCACTGCTTTCTATTCCCAGCCCTGCCCTCCTCGCCCTCCAGCGTCATCCCGCACAGTGCGTTCAGCGAGCAACCGCACGCTTTCCCTTGGAAAAACAACTTCAGATGAACATCACACCAGGGGTGGGCACACGCCTGTCATCCCAGCACTTGGGAGGCTGAGGCAGGAGGATCGCCACAAGTTCAAGGCCACTCTGGGCTACATAGCAAGATCCTCTCTCAAATACACACACATATGCATAATACAAATCTCTTAGGAGACAGAGTTGGGGAAGCCAAGCACCCGCTGCAGAGCAGAGCGGAGCAGTCGTACCCGGACGGCAGGATCGTCAGGCTGGCAGAGCCCGGGGAACAGCTCCTTCAGCTTCTCCTTCTCACTCCTGGGCTTCACAACCGGATCTGATTCCATCGAGGATCGTGAAGTGGGAGAGAGCAACAAGGAGTTTAAAAAGATATATTCAAGGGCCGGGGATTTAGCTCAGTGGTTCCACCGCCTGCCTTGAAAGTGCAGGGACCCGAGTTCGATCCCCGGTACCCACAAAAAAAAATCCAATAAAAAGATATATTCAGTATGACCGGCTAACAAGATAACTTCAATATGACGTTGTGAGATTTCAAACTTGCTACACATCGGATGTGTGATTACAAGTGTAACTTAATTTTCTAAACACACTGACTACCCACCCAGCCCTTAGCAAACCTCCTAACCTAGTATTCTTTGGCTACACCTTAACCTCATAATCCCAGCACTCTGGGAGACTGAGGCAGGAGATAACAAATTTGAGCCCCGCCTGGGCAACTCAACAAGTGGATTAGAGCCAGGTGTGGTGGCACACGCCTGTAATCCCAGCACTTGGGAGGGAGGCTGAGGCAGGAGGCTCACTGCCAATGCAAGACCAGCCTGGGCAGTCTGAATTGCATAGTGAGACCATCTTTAAAAAAAAAAAAACAAAAAACTGGGTGAAACCCTACTTCAAAATTTAAAAAGGGCTGGGGATACCACTCAGAGCAAAAGCCTTGGGTTCAACCGGGGATTTAGCTCAGTGGTTCCACTGCCTGCCTCACAAGCACAAGGTCCCAAGTTTGATCCCTGGTACCAAAAAAAAAAAGCCTTGGGTTCAATCCTCAGTGCCTCCAAGCAGATATTCAGTTTTGTCCTAAGTCCCTCGAAAATGTTCATCAAACACTCCCTGCTCAGCAAGCCCAGGGCACCCAGAAGAGGCTCTCTCACCTTTGCTCGTGGATGGCTTTGCCGGGGGTCGCATGGTCTGGATGAGGCGCAGCAGGTTGCTGACCAGGGAGTCCTGCAGGAAGAGGAGAGTGAATTGTGCGGCCTGGGCCTGCGGGGACGGAGCCACTGCCAGGGAGCTCCACACAGAGCCGGCCTCATGGCCCTGGGGAAGAGCCCCCCAGCTCCCTTCCACCCCTCATCCCCCACCGTTCAGAACCAGCTCCAACACCTCCAAATCTCCACACTCACTGACTTCCCGATTCACGGAACCAGAACGCACACACTGCACACATCCTGGACAGGGCCGCACGAAGTCGGCGGAACACACCCACGGGCCGTTCCCTGGTACACACAGGCATCCCTTCCTCTAAATCCTACCTTAAACCCTAGCAATCAAGAGTGCCATTAACAGAAAAAAGAGCCAGAATAAACTTCTCTTTCTCTTGAAAAAAAACAGAAGGAAGGAAAGAAAGGAAGTATGAGTCTCCAGGTAAACATACCGTAAATTCTGCGCCGTTTTTTACCAGGGAAGCCTTGAAAGTGTCAAAGGTGGTATTTTTCTCAGCGAGACTGATCACAAACTCAGCTGCAAAAGAAGGAAAGAAATTAAGCAAGCAGACTTGAGTGAGAAATTGGCTCCGAGTCTGTTGAAACAAACTGATCGGATTATCCGCCCATGAACTCCACAGGCAGGAACAAAGCCTGGGCAGTCAAGGTCACACGGGGTCCCGGGTCCCCCACCCTGCCCGTGAACTCCAAGAAATGAAGAGAAGATGCTGCCACAGAAGGGCTCCCCACGCCCGGGGCCTTCACCCCAGGTCAGCAGCCCCTCCTCGCAGGAAACGGTCGGTGTGCAGGATCGCGGTGACAGCGGGCCAAGGGCCAGCCTGCGCAGCCCACAGACGCGACACGCGTGCAGCAGCGTCTGTCTCGCGGTCTCTGGGAGGTCACACCCGAAATGCTCAATGACTACTTCCGTTCCAACCCTAAAAATTTACACAAATCCCACAGGAGACCTGGAAGGCTAGCGCTTCCCTACCATTTCTGGGATGAAATTTGCCTTTATTTATTTATTTTTTTTTTCAGTCCTGGGGATGAACCGAAGGCCTGGACCCCGCCAGGCCAGGCTCCTCACCGCCTTCCTCCCTCAAGGCTAGCATCTGCCTGGGTTCTCCCCACCCGCTCCACAACATGCGTCCTGTGCAGGGGCTGATACTGCTCTGCTCTCAGGGCCTTAGATGCCGTCCTACCCAGCAGCCACTGAGGCAGGACTGGAATCCGGGGGTCATAGCTCAGCCATGCTCTTTAGAGAAAGCTGCAGGGAAAACTAAGGCAAGCAGCATTTATTCAGCCAGCCGTGCACAGAAAGCTAATCCCACACACTTGGGTTAGGGACACACAGCCTTAGGAGACAGCCCCATTCTGGCTGGAAGGCAAGAGAAAGTGAACGGTAAATTACATCGGCTGTGGGGCGTTTTGTCAGGTGCTACGTGCTCGCCCGGTGGAGAAGGTAGGTATCCCACCTCACATGCTGAGAAAAACAGCTTCAAAGAAAGTAAGGGACTTCCCCCATGTTACATATCTAACCCCCCTAGCCCTTGGTGAGGCAGCGCAGTGCTCTAATCCCAGCTCTCTGGGAGGCTGAGGCAGGAGGATGATGGAAGTAAACCCTGCCTGAGCGACTTGGAGAGACCCTGTCTCAAAACAAAACTAGTAAAGAGGGCTGGGATGTAGCCTTGGGTTTGATTCCCAGTACTAAAAAGATTTAAAAAGCACACACCTAACCTAACCCCTCCTTGCTCTGGAGATGCCGGGTTGCACGCCGCTCTAGCCCTGTCCGCCTGCCCCGGCCCCCATCTGGGACCGGACAGCAGTCAGGCGCCCTCCGCGCCTCCGCCCCGATGCCGCCCAGCCCGTCACCCCCTCTGGGGTCCCAGTCTGCAGCCCTGGCCCGGTTTCTGAGTTCCCGGGGATGGCTGGCCCGGAAGGTCCAGCACCAGGGTCTGGGAGTAGCGAACGGAGCCCTGCGAAGCTGACCGCGACCCCACCGAGGAAGACGGTGAAGGCAGACGACGGCGACAGAAGCGACCGCCACCGCCACCGCCACCGTCCCGGCCGCCGCGGCCCCCGAATCCCAAGCCAAAGCCCACTCGGACTCACCGAGATCCTTGTCGTTGATCCCCAGGTGGTTGTCCAGCTCCGTGCAAACCTTGGACACCAAGGACAGATACTCGAGCTTGGCGAGTTCCTCCGCGGGGCCCGGCTCCGAACCGCAGGGCGCTCCAACCGGAGCTAAGACCACAGCCATAGCTGCCCTTCCCCGGACTGCTTCCAGCCCGGCCAAACTCCCGCTTTTATTTCCGGGTCGGCGCGCGGCTCTTGTTTACCCCACGTTGGAAACTTCCGGAACGTCGTCCGCCGCGAAAGGATGGATCATAGAGATGAGCCCGGAAGTGTGTACAGAAGGGATAACAGGAGTGCTTAACTATGCTCTCTGAATGGCGCCCTCTATGGACAAGAGAAATGTCCCGCCCGCGAGGCCGGAAACGCTCGCTCTCGGCGAATTCCGGCACTGCGTCAGCAGAGGGCGCCCGCGGGCTGCGCTAGGAGCCGAGAGAGGCGACGTGGTGGCCAGTGCTTGCCTGCTCTGTAGGAGCCTTGGCCTGGGCCAGGAAGTGCCCGAGGCTGGAGAAGGGTAGTGCTGGTCCCGGCCCTGTGTTCCCGGGATATGATCGTCCGCGACGCTGACCCGGCGAGAGACTTCAGATCTGTCACTCACCTCCTCCTGGCTCTCAGAGCCCAGTGTGTCAGACAAGCCTGCAGTCCCAGCACTCAGAGAGGCTGAGACAGGAGCATCTTGCGTTTGGCCCAGGAGGTAAAACTTAGTAAAACCCTTGTGTCAAAGATGGGGGACAAAAAAGGGGGGCAGGGGCTGGGGCTTTAGCTCAGTGGTTCCGCCTCCTGCCTCGCAAGTGAAAGGTCCCGAGTTCAATTCCCGGTATCAAAAAAAAGCGGGGGGGAGACAGATACGGAGTTTGTTTTGTTCCTAAACCTCTGTCAGGGAAAGGCCATAGAATCATGAACATAAAGCAGCAAACACGCCGGATGTGGTGGTGCACGCCCCATTCCAGCACTTGGGAGGCTGAGGTGGGAGGATCACAAATTCAAACGCAGCCTGGCCAAATTAGTGACTTAGCAGTTCCCTGTCTCAAAATATAAAAAGGGCTGGGGATGTTGCTCAGTGCAAAGGCGCTGGGTTCAACCCCCAGTGCCAAGAAAGAAAATGGATTTAAAGTTGGGGTGCTGCTCAGGGACAGAACAGGTGCTCCCATGCCTAGGCTCTGAGTTGTGGGGGCTGTCTTCGGGCAGAATGTGTATGTTAATATGAGATACAATGAATTGCTTGTAATCACTGTATTGCCCTCCTTGCCTGGCCTACATGTGACCCAGCAAATAACTTACCTCCACAAAAGATTAAGATAAATGGCAGATAGCTCACTACCTACACTGCCATTCATGAGAGATAAGAAACTATTTCCCAAGCTGGGAGTGGAGGCAGACGCCTGTCATCCCAGCACTCAGGAGGCTGAGGCAGGAGGATCCCCTTGCATTCGAGGCTGGCTTGAGCTACACAGGGAGAGCCTGGCTCAAAAAAACCAAAGGGCTGGGGATTTAGCTCAGTGGTGCCGCTGCCACCTGCCTCGAAAGCAAGAAATAGTCCAGAGTTCGATCTCCTGTACCAAAACAAAAAAAGAAAAAAAAAAATATCATTTCCCGTTCTGAACCCTGCAGCAACAGGGATGTTTCCTGTGTGCGTGTGTGCATGCGTCTGTGTGGCACTCTGGTCCTGGGCCTGTGCTCATGTGCACCGCCACCCACACCCCGTCCCAAGGGCGCGGCTGCTTCTCACACTGTTTCTGCTGAATCCCTGGACTATGGGTCCCAGCCAGGAAACCCAGACAATGTGACTGCCCGGGCAGAGCATAAAGAGCTCGGCCCTGTCCCTGAAAGTGACAGGCGACGTCCTCCTCTGGGCAGGAAGTGAGGAAAACCACCAAGACAGCACGGCCGCTGCCCCCGGGAGGCGGCCCTGCTCCAGATGCCAAGCTGGGTGCCCTACAGCCCGTGTGCGCGACTGCTCCCAAGGGTCATTGTCACAAACATGTGGAGACTTCAGAAAACATGGCCTGGCCCGCTGGAGAGCCCAGGCAGCACCAAGAGGTGGTGACAGTGGCCCAGCCCTCCTGCCGGCAGACTCCGGAGCAGACAAACCCTTCCCTTCGCTCGGCCCCTAAATTAGCCTTGGAGTTGGAACCAGCTTATCACCTTTGTATTGAACACTCTCTGTCTTGGTTTTGGAGACAGGGCCTCACTCTGTAGCCCAGGCTGGCCTTGAACTCAGTGTAGCCCAAGCTGGCCTGGAACTTGTGGCGATCCTCCTGCCTCAGCCTCAAGTGCTGGGATGCTACCGGCTGAACTTCCTCTTCGTGCCTGCACTGTGGCTCCGTGAAGAGTCCAGAGCACTCGGAAACACCCAGAAAGGACTAGAAGGGTCCAAAGGCCACGCCAAGCGGAGGGTCTCAGGCAGAGCTGTTTATGAAGCCCGGGGTGGGAGCAGAACACAGAGCCCGGCCCGTTCCATCCCCCGGGTCCCGCAGGCTCCTTGCGGGCCCTGGCTCCTCTCTGTCATTCAAGGCTTCTTCAGAATCCGGGCCAGAACGAAGCAGGGCTGGCAGGGCTGGAAACCCTGCCTCCCTCCTCACCTCCCCAGTTGTGGGGGCTTCGCCTGCTTACTGGGAACATTGCATCGCCCTTTTTGTTTTTCAGGGCATGTGTTTCTGAGAATGACGGCTCAGTGGCTGTCACTCTGGGCTTTCTCTCCTCTGAGCCCAGGCTGCCTCCTGCCTGGGCCTGGGCCTGGGCCTGTGGCAGCTGCTGGTCCTGGCCTCGGGCCTTCCTTGGAAAGTCCCAGGGTTTCCTCAGCAGGGAGCAAACCCCGCCATGCCCATCAGGGGAGGGAGCTAGAAAGCTAGAGAGGAGCTCTGAAAAGCTTCCTTTTCTTTTCTTTTTGAGTCATGGCTTTGCTCTGTAGACCAGGCTGGCCTCAAACTTGTGGTGATCCTTCTGCCTCAGCCTCCCATGGCTGGGGTCACAGGATCTTTCCTGTCACAGCCCCCACAAGGCCTCCACTCAAAGCCCAGCGTGTGTGGCTGAGCCAGCACCATGGTCCCCCCCACCAGGTCTGCCCTCAGCCCTGTCCCCAGCTCTCTCCAGAGCCTCCCCAGCCTCCGCTCTTTCCTCTGTCTCTGCTCCCGGGAAGTTGCCATTTTACTTTCCTCAGGGAGGAGGAGGGATAAAGCTTAGTCACGTGGGCGTTGTGGGGAAGAGAAAATTTCCCTTCTTAGTCACATATTTTGCTCTTCTTTGACCTACAGACTCATCTTCTCCAGCTTCTGCAGCCCACACTCAAATTTTGGTGTCAGTCAAATTCATATAAAAAATTTTCAAAGATACAGAGGCCCAAGCTGACCGTAGTGTTTCTCTCCTATAACCCCAGGCCCCAGGAGGCTGAGGCAGGAGGATCACCGTGAGTTCAATCCAGCCTGGGCTCCACAGCGAGACCCTGTCTCAAGAAAACAATAAAATGAGATACAGAGGCCCAACTCTGAGCAGGCAGTGTCTCGCCGAGTGCGTGCAAGAGTCCCCTGACCTGGACCTCGAGGGCACCACGGGACAGGGCCGGAGCAGAGCCCGCGCTCAGAGGGTTGGAAACGAGGAGGTAAACATGGAACCCACCCACCCGCGGTCCTCAGACTGTGAGTGCCAAAGGGGATTTGCAAGAAAACCTAACAAAGCCACGCGTGGAACGCCTCCTCGCATGTGAAAGCCACTGCTCCTCTTCCTGGGACACGGGGCCCTCTGAGCCATGGAATCAAGGTCCCTTCGGCCCAGACCCCGCCCTCCTCCTGGTCTGGGGTTGGAACTCAGCACGCCGATGGAGCCAAGCCGCGGCTTGACCCCTGGGGTTCAGGCCGCCCTGGGCAGCCCACTCCCGCATGCCCTGCCCCTGTCACCGTCCTGTGGCCCCGCCTGTCCCCTCCCACGGCTCACGCGTGGCTGAGCCCGTGTGACCCCAGAACTGGGCCCGTCTGGTTCGGTCAGGATGTCCTGAGGTCCTGCGCTCATGGGCTTTGGAAGCGCCTGGCCTGGACGCGGGAGGAGGTCACCAGGACAGAGCTGCCTCCACCACCCTGCCACACCACCAAGGGTTCCAGGGCTGTACAGGGACGGAAACTCTGGGATGGGGAACCCAGTGCCCACCCCGCCTCTGAGCCAGTGTCGGGTGCCACGTCCCAGCCACGAGGGCAGTGCCTGAGACGCCTCCCACCTCTGAGGAAGACAGGGGCCGTGTGGGACGCCTGCCCAGCCCGGAGTCAGCCTAACCCCACTGGGTTCTTGTCCATCTCAGGGGCTTGTCCTCCTCAGGCTCAAACTCAGGCTTCCTCCTGCGCCTGTGGCACACACCGGTGATCCCAGCACTTGGGAGGCTGAGGCAGGAGGATCGCCGTGAGTTCGAGGCCAGCCTGGGCCACATAGCAAGGCCCTGTCTCCAAAGGTAAAAACCCACCCCCAGGACAACCCCCTCCCTCTCCCTTCCTCCCCTCAGCCTCAGCCTCCTCCTAAACGCATCCAATTCCCCACCATCCCAGAAACACTTCTCCCTCACCCTGCTGCCCTCTGTGCACCAGCGGCAAAGTCCTGGGTGTACCATTCTGAGCCCCAAGCCCTCTGCCTCTGTGCACCCTTGTGCCAGTGGCTGCCTAGTGCAGGGGTTCTCAAACTTGCTGCATTCAGAACCCTTTTCTGGGATGACTTGAAAACACCAGTGCTTGAGTCTCAGCCTGCGATGCTGTGAGTTCACTGGACCTCGGGAATTGAACCCAGGGCCTTTGTGCTGAGCCATATCCTCAGACTTTTGTTGCTTTTTTGAGACAGGGTCTCACTATGTAGTCCAGTAGTCCAGACTGGCCTCAAACTTAATGGCGATGCTCCTGCCTCAGCCTTCTGAGTGCTGAGATTACAGGTGTGCGCTGCCACCACACACACCCACCTCCAGATATTTTTTAAGTTTTGAGTCAGGGTCTCAATCACTAAACTCCCCATGCTAGGTTGGAACTTTCGATCCTCCTGCCTCGGCCTCCAAGTGTTGGGATGATGGGCGGGTGCCACTGCGCCAGACTCTAGGAGCACTGCAAATTGTTCCCTTCCCTCTGCCAAGGCCAAGTCACCTCTTCGGCACAGAGCTGCACAGTCAGCACAAGTGCTCTCCCTGCTGGAAACACCGCAGTTTGGCACAGCTGCGCGACAGAAACAGTTTTCTCCTCTGTGACTGTGTCGC